GTTACTAGAAGCGATGCACGTGTTACTAGTAGCTTCTTGTTTCCTAGTAGCTTCTTGTTCCTAGTAGCGATGCACTTGTTACTACTAGCGATGCACCTGTTACTAGTAGCGATGCACAGAAAGATTAGACAAGCACACGTTAAACTCTTCTTACACTGTTCTTCCGCGAGCACATCATGTAACAGACTCACAACATGTAACAGACTCAGACTAATGTAAGAATCACAAATTCTGGTGTAATTATTACTTCTGTTAAGCTCCGACTGTTGATGCTTTCGTTGTTGGGATGTTCCATGATCTTCGATTTGCCGGTTCCGTTGCCCTTCACATGTTTTTGCTGGCTTGGCTTCGCATGGCGAGAGAAGACAGGTCGAAGAAGGCACAAGTGAATGCCATTGTGAACCTTCCATGACTTCATAACATGTCTGACCACCACATGCCTTCATGACATGTCTTCAATGACTGAAGCGATGAAATTCCGGGGAAGGTTGTATGTCTTGATCTTTGGCGATTTGCCATACAGTGCCAGCCTCGGCAAACGATCTTGGAGGGACAGGACATACATCTCGACCTGCTTGTGCCGCACTGAAGTGGGGTGCATTGTGCCATGCTGTGCCATCAGGGCCACCCAAAATGTGCCGTGAGCATCTCAAGATGGCAATCATCACAGGAGTTGCGTGTGATGCTGATGGTGTGACAGAGTGAGTTTTGTTACTGAGACTGCATGGGGCAGACCACTCAACATTGGCAGCATTTTAATACACTTTTAAAGACTAATAGTTGCAGCACTTTCTCAACATTGCTTTTTGGTGATGCCGTAGTGAGGTTCGCGAACACGGCTGGTGTCAAATCCAGACGAACATTCGAAACAGCAACAACTTGCAGAAAAGAAATTCTTGACCAGGATCCTGTTTGTTGGTCAGGAGAAGTACCACTCGAACTACAAGTGTTAACTTCCCATGAGCGGTTCTCCTGCTCGGCGTTCTTGGCTGGCAGGATGCTTGCGGCCTTCCTTTCAGCCATCCATCAGGGCAAACCTCATGCCCAGAGCTGCTTCGTTGGTTGATGCTCGGTCCCATTGTCCCACAGAGTTCATTTTCTTGGGATTGGGGGAAAAAGTGGCAATATGCAGAAGTGTGGAGTGAATTTGGTGGTGCGCGGGTGGTTTTCAATGGCGCCCAATGAAATTGCAAGATCAATTCTTTTTCCCGCAGTTCTCCCAAATACAGAAACGACAGCAAGGACCTGCACGCTACTCAACATTATATAGTCACATTCTCACTGTAGGCCGGTGGGCGTCCACAACGCAGTGCGGTGGGACCGGATGGGAATGGCCAGCAGACGAAGAAGTCACTACTTGGATGTTTTGATTGGTCAATGATGCGAAACCAAGGATTTGGTGAAGCAGATGCTGTCACGAGACAGGCACCGACCTACATTGGAAGAAGACTGCTTATGACACAAATTCTCCGTGGGCGCGTTTCTGATTTTGTTGCATATTGTTTGCATGTTTTAAAGTTTTACGAGCAACCTTTCACAGTTCACCATCCAGGTTCGTTCAAATCATATGCTGGAAGGACGCAGCCACTACTGACGTGTGCATTTTCCAGCATGGTGACAGGGCTGAAGCTTGCAGTTTTGGTGTTGAAGCGTGTGTATGACACATCCCAGCGCTGGGCAGCTGGGCTCCGTCTAATAAACCGCTTTCTCCGCAGCACCCATCTTTGGTTCGGCGCGGATTTCCGCTCGCACCGCTCAATGGGCACTCAAACCATTCGGAGAATGGTCCATTCACCCTAGTTCGGAGTAAGCGAAGGCCGAAAGAAACGAGTTGGTGTCGATGCCCAAGTTCACAGACATACCGCCAGAAACCCGGTTCACAGAGCCATGCAGCAACTTGAGGACCGCATAATTTGTTGATACTTTTTAATATGCATACTTTTTCCATAGCAAAAGCACCTAATTACTGTTTTTTTTCATGACTGTCCGGCCCCCTCAGCCTCTTTCGCAAGCAGACCCCTGGGCCCAAGAAATGGCCAGGTCGACACGGCCCACAGCAGCGCGGGTCCTCACGGCCGTGCTGAAACCAGGGAGCTCAACGAGAACTTCTCGTGTCCAACAGGCCTTTTGCACCGCGCCAGGCAGGGCCCGGCAGCTGATACGCCAGCAGCCGGCCTACGCCGGCATGGTCCGAAGGGCCAGAAGGGCCAGAAGGGCCAGGGGTATCATATTTTTTTTTAAAAGGTCTTTTTTGGGGTGTTGATCGGCCTGGCCTGCATAGAAAACGTTGGAGTGCTTGACCTCCTTGACGGGTTCACGACAATGGTTTTCGATTCTTTTTCTTTGAGCGAGGGTGGTCGAAGACAAGGGGGTCACAGAGTGACTATAGTGCATGTTGGAGTGACAGGCAAGCTGAAGACAGCTTTGCATCTGAAAGTTCACTTTGGCTGCTGGAAAGCTCAGAAGAGCGAGGATGAGGATGACGTGCTTGGGAAGGATACGCAGCGTCTTAGCCAGAATGCTGAGCCAGGGTGAGATGAGGGGTTGCTAGGAAGTGGTGAGGGTTAGAGCTCCATGTGAGGAAATCGGTAGATGGTGTGATTGCGAAAGAGGGGGAGAGAGGGCGATATAGAGAGAGAGAGAGAGAAAGAGAGAGGGAGAGCGAGAGTTGAGGGAAAGGGAATGGAGGAAGGCTGCAATTTTACGATTCGTGGCAGCTCCTTAAGGTACTTGAACCTTTCAACCTGTCTCCTTTTCAAGACAAAGCCACCTACTGTCACAAGGACTTCACAAAAACTGGCAAGTAAGGAAAAACCAGCTCTATTCAGTCGTGACTGCACACAATTGTGGCAAACAACATTTTCCAGCATGTTTTTCTGTTTAGATTTGCTTTCCTGTGGGAAACACCCGGGCCCTTTCTGGTCACCCGGGCCCGTACGCGTCAGGTTTGCTCGTGCTGTGACCTATTGACCGAATTCGAGGCTGGCGTCTTCCCGCCTCCCGCGGGGGGGTTCGGGGGAGAGGCGGAGACGGAGGTTCCCGGAGGCTCCCGGAGACGGAAAACGGTGTTGGATGCCTCAGGTGTTGGAAGTTGTTAGACGTTGCTTCGAAAAAGAAAGATGAGATGGTCAAGGCCTGTTTGATGCAGTTTTGTTATCTTCTGTATCTTCTGTGGATGCACAGGAGCAGACTCCCACAGAAATCCTATTCACAAAGAGCAGCAATTCCATGCCATTCCCCTCTAGGCGCACACTTGGCCCAACGAACCGAAGCATCCGACCAGGCGAACAGCTTGTGAAGCATCCCGAGGGACTGGTGCATCAAGACCATGCGGTGGATTGTTTCAATTGGGACGCAGGCACCTGCATCGCCCAAAGGGATGAACCTGTGACTCAAACCACAAGGGACTCATGAACTTTGTGCATACCAGTGACGAGTTTGGTGAACACGAATCATATGGCACGACTGGCGGGGACTTAAGGCAGAACATTCTGAGCAGTTTGAGTCATCAATAGAAGATTGTTTCAAATCCTTGACCCGTTGGCACGGCCTCGTGAGAAGAAGCTGTGGGGGATTGAGGTCAGGGTTGTTCACCCTTGCAGTTCGTACCTCTCCTAGGCTGCAATGACAATACAGTGTCAATACAGACACTTTTCTTGGGTAGCCTGACTCTTTGAACATCCTTGAACTGCAATGGAGTGCGTAGTCGTGTGCGCCATTGTCAGATGGTTTCGAGATCCGTGGGATTGTCAGAATCCATGGAAGAGCAAGCGCAAGCGGAGCGCTCGGACTGACTTCCCAGACACGGACTCCAGGCATTTGACGGCCATCTAAGCTTTGCAAGGCTGGCCCATGATTTGAAGTCCTCACTTTGAAGACTTGCGCGCTTTTCTGGACAGTTTTTAGAGGACATGCCTCTACTTGAACCTGGCTGCCACCCTGATTCCTGCTGAGACCTGCACAGGACAGCAGGTCAAGTTCTTGTGAAAGATCAAGCACATCAAGACCTTGAGCACAGAGCCAGCACTTACTAGTCTTTCTTCCCATCGTTGCGAGAGAGACATCCCCCTCACCGATCTGGGCACATGTATTTGCGGGGGGTATTGGCTCTCGATCCGTTTCCTTCAGTTCTATTCTATTCCTTTTCCTTTCACACCATGGTGGCAGCTGAAGGGCTTTTAAGCACTCGACCCCCGTTTGGTGTGGTGGGGGTAGTGTGGACAGGCAGATGTCAACCTCTGCATTCCACACTGACCTGATCCTAGCTGACCGATCCTTCGTGAATCCCCCCAGGGGCCTCGGAGGATAGGAGGACTGGTTTGGCACGCCATAGGCTGAAGAGGCTAGAGCCTTTGGAGTCTAGTCTTAACTCACTCTCTGCCTGAGTGAGCTCACTCTCGAGTATATGAAGGATCGGCACCGACAGGTTCGAGGAGATTCTTTAAAGATTGACTGTTTTAATGCGCGTTGTGGCCACTTTGTGTCACTCGAGCTTGTGTGACCTGCATCGGGCTGATGCATGCTGACGCGCCACAGCAGCAACTCCGTTGGATGCAACACTGACAAGAGCGGTGGGAATCATGCTGCCCATAAAGAGGCAAAAAGCCTGAGCAGGAAGGACGAGGCGCTGATTCTGCAACGTCTACTCATATGCATAGACCTTTCCAAATTGTTACAGAGGAATTCGGGAAGGCTCATCAGAGGGCGGCAAGCCGCTTCTTTGTGACCTGTGAAGGAAACAAGCAGGTGTACAATGCCATTGACTTGCAACAACCTTTCATCAACACAAGTAACTGCCTTTTCGTTTGCAAATGCTGGAAATGGCTCATTTGGTTAGCCCCAGGCGTGGCCAAGGACTGACAAGAAAAGAAGCTTCAAGATACGTTGAACGTTCTAGAGTGGTTGGACATTGCGGCATTGCGTCAACAAATGTCCTCCTGTCCGAGTGGCGAGCCCCGCCATGATTGGATGTGGTGCCAAACCGTTTCGAAGCCCGTCGATTCCAGGCTTCCGACTGAGCAATGAGCTCGCAGGTGAAGCCCAATGCGCTCACCTGATTCTTTTCGGTTGAAGAGCCGATGAGTTGACGATCATCTCAACAGATATCAATGGATTCTTCTTGAAGTCTTCCTTTATATAACTTATTTTTTGGAGCCATCACAATCCTGGACTTCACTCACTTGAGATTCCAGTTTTGCAGACCTGGATCTTCAACCCATGCCCTGCATGGCTGCCAAGTCTTGATGTGAACGATGCCATGTTACCACGACGCGAGTTGAAGCGGCCGTGACTTTGGCATCTGACAGCATCGAAACCGTGCCGTCTTTCCTTGTAGCAAGCAAGGACGACTGGATATGGAGGTCTGAGGTTCTTTATATAGTTAGACTCAGGATGAGCTCTGGGGCATTAATATTGAAAAGACTGGAAAGATTTTGAAAGAGTTCACACACCCACAGGACTGGACTGATCGGGGAATTGGATGGACATGAATGGACAGATGAGTGCTCAAAGATCTACAGTGGAGTTCATCCACTTTCATGCTAGTTCATTTTTTTTTAAGGGGGGCAGCGGTGAAGATGGTGAAGGAATCAACACCTTTGACATTTGCACTCTGTAAAGCCCGATCACTTTGCCCCTCACTTTCTCGTCAGTCTTGGTGGAGTGTGGAAATTGGTCATGCGCCAGTGGACCTCTAGCAGTCACGCTTTAAGGCTGTCCTGATCACATAGACATAGAGACTGTCTCAGATTAAAAAGACGTTGACCGTCTCACGCGCCAGTGGCAGACCCATGCCATCGCAGCAAGACCTTGCAGAGAATTACACTCCTGATCATTTGAATCAATTGCTGATTTGGTGTTTCTGAATCTTGACATCTGAATATTCTGGACATTTTGGCAAAACCCTATGGCCATTTTCAGATCGCACGTTTTCTTCGGGGCGCTCCCTAGAGCCGCGCGTTTCCGCGGCCGGGACACCGGTGGGTTTCAGCGGTGGATGCAGCCGCCCACGAAGCGGCCGCGCACAGACTCAGGTGCAGTGGACATGGGTAGACCCAGTGGGTGGGAATTTCTTGGAAGGGCTCATGGATCCAGTTTTTCTTTTCTTCTTGGGGATGTCTTCTTGATCAAGGATTGAGCGTTGAAGAAAAGTGTAGGTGCTTTCATAGAATCATTTGTCACGCAAACTGGCCTCACCGCTGCTGGCCACTTGCGGATGAGAAATCGCAACCAAAAGCTGGCGTGTTCGTGCCAAAGCCTGTGCACTCAGTTCAGCAGTGAAGAGAAAGGTTTGTTAACTTCTGGCTAGCTCCGCGGACTTTGCAATTTGGATTTGATTTTCTTGGCCAGGATGGTGCATCAGCCCAAAGCAAGCTCAAGACATGCAGAATAATGGTCCTGGGCTGCGTGGATTGATTTTTTCATTTTTTTGGAACCATGTTGGTTCAAGTTCCAGCCTAGCCTACCTGCTTGCCAGTGGGCTCCGCTCCTATTGTTAAACGTTTTGGTTTCAAGATCACTTCAGTGTGATTTTGCAGCTCTGAGGTTCTTGAAGATGCTTGTAAGCAACGCCACAGCCGGCATCCTGATTGGAAAGGGTGGCACTACTTTGAAGGACTTGCTCGTCTTCGCTGTTCAGGCATCCAATGTGCAGGATGTGTATCCTATCCAAGCCGCCCAGCCCTTTCTATTGAAAGGTGGATGCATGGCCTTCGCTTCCCACACGTCCTCTGTGCTCTTGCATATCCGGTTTCATCGTGCAGTTTCGGTCGAGCTTGGTTGGTGCATCGGTGGGCGAGCGTTGATGGCTTGCTCGCTGCATTCATGCGAGCAGTGCTGGTTGTGTTGTTTGAGGGGAGGCAATGGAAATCTGCAGCTGGTCAGCTGTTGTGAGTGAAAGATATGTCAACACTTTACATGATCAAGTGCCACAAGGACAGAATGAATTCCTAAGCCTATGGCAAGACATCATCCTTGCCTCCCACAATTCCCGGCAGTGATGTTGTACTTTTTCCTTGCTTTGTTGCTACTGAGCATCTAAGAAAGCTTGAGACTTTTGGTGGCAAACCTTGACTTGACCACCCCGAACATTTTCTGGCTGTCTGAAGTAAGTAGTGTTTGGTGCCTCCACCAAGCCATCGCCATTGGCCATTGGTTGCAAGGAGCTAGAGGGAGCCACTGGCTGCATCATCAAGCTCTCCCCAAACAACCACTTCTATCCTGGCAGTGTGGGCAGCACGGCTGGAGGCATGGATGTCCCCAAGAAGACGTGGTGGGTTCCTGATTTATCCCCCTTGCATTTTCCACAAAGGTTGTGTGAATGTCATGCTCTTCTTTCACAGGGGATGCTTGAAGGTTGGCTTTGATTTTGACAGATGGCCAGCTCAAAGATCAAATGAGCTCTTGTGGTGGATAACGTTCTCATCCATCAATCTTTGGCTTGTCCAATTGCTTGATCAATGGGTTTTTAAGCATGATCCAGTTTCCTTGAAGCTTTGACAAATATCTCCTAGGAGGAGGCCATCGGGTGGTGTGCGTGGCAGGCAAAGAGGCGTGGTTCTCATATGGCATTTGTTCGGTGCAAAGCGATTGGTGAGCTAGTGATTTTTGAGTCATACACTGCAGCCTCAGCACATGGAGTCCTTTTCTCAACATGTTCGTCTTCGCCGAGCGAAGAGAACGGAGAGAGTTAGTGAAACGTTTTGCCCGCTTGGTCAACGCTTGCTTGTCAACGTGGTGGAGGAAGCCGTAGAATCCGTGCTTGCGACGGCCCCTTGGCGGAAGAGCTGGCCTGGGCCAGCGTTGGAGTGGGAGGCTGTTGGAGCAGTGGGAGGCTGTGTTCTCGCGGGCTTGTGTGCAAACCGTCAGTTTCGGATTTCGATGGTTGAAGCAACCTCAGCAAATGTTCTTTTAGTGGCCATTTTTGTGAAGACTGTATGAAAGGGGAGCAGTGAGTGCAGCTGCCGTTGACCGAGGTGGTGGATGCCACCATGGAGGCTGAACGGCATGCCGCAGAGAAGGAACAGCGCCAGCTGGAAGATAGGCCGGGCAAGTGCTTGAGACTGATGACGCAAACATCATGTAGACTGTTGATGACTAATTTTCCATATGAAGAGGTTGCGCAATCCAAATTGAAGGGCCGTCTTCAGGACCCAAACATATCCAACACATTGGCTCAGAAAGACTTGTTCTCTCGACAATTCTCTCCTGAATGTGCCAGGGTGACAGTGCACGCTTCATGGCTGCAAGATCCGTTTCAGAATGCTCCGGGAAGGGGCCACACCCCCACGGATGGCGGGTGTGAGACCGTCATTGAGCGATCAAGGTCAGGTCTCTACCAAGAGATGTTTGATGAAGGTACTGACCGACAGCAGGTTGAAAAACCCGCGACACTGGGCTTAAGTGGGCGAAACCACCTGACTTTT